CTGTCTTGGAACTCTGACTTTCTAATAAAATTAAGAAATAAATCTTTAAACAATTACTTTCAGGCTATGTGTATAAGGTATATATAAAACGTAAATGAAGTTCATGTCTGCACTTGAGTCTTGGGTCCCATGACCAAGATACCTTATTATGTATATGCATAAATTAAAAAATCTGAAATTTGAAACACTTCTAGGCCCAAGCATTTCAGATGCAGGTTATTCAACCTGTAATTTTGTGAGTACAGAATATCTGTTCACATTGTTTACCCCTTGATGTCATTCTTAAAAGATTATTGAAGGGCTGGAACTGTGGCGTGGCGGGTAAAGCTGCCGCCTGCAGTGTGGGCATCCTCATATGGGCACCGGTTTGAGTCTTGGCTGCTCCACTTCCAGTCCAGCTCTCTTCTATGGCCTGGGAAAGCAGTGGAGATGGCCCAAGTCCTTGGGCCCCTGTACCCGCGTGGGAGACCTAGAAGAAGCTCCTGGCTCCTGGCTCCTGGCTTCGGATCAGTGCAGCTCCGGCCGTTGCGGCCAATTGGGGAGTGAACCAGCAGATGGAACACTTCTCTCCCTCTCCCTCTCCTCTCCCTCTCCTCTCCCTCTCCTCTCCCTCTCCTCTCCCTCTCCTCTCCCTCTCCCCTCCCCTCCCCTCCCCTCCTCTCCATCTCCCTCTCCCTCTACCTTTCCCTCCCCTCCCCTCCCCTTCTCTCCTATTACCCTTCCCTCCCTCCCTCCTCTACTCTCCCTCCTCTCCTCCCCCCTCCCCCTCCCCCCTCTCCTTAGATGGCTGCTAATTAGAGAAGCTGAGACTTGAGCTAGGTACTTCAATGTGGGACATGAGTGTCCCACCCAGAGTCCCAGCTCCCGTGCCAAGTGCCCGCCCCCACCCTGAGGTGTTAGGAGGGTGAAGGTAAAATCTGGTTGTAGTGTTTGGAGGGTGGGGCTGGGGCGGGTGACTGGGGATAGATGATAAATGATTGAATCCTGGTGGCTTAAAAAGAGTGAGGGAGGGAGAGGACACACACACACGCACACCTGTACACACACGGACACACCCATGTGGTCCCTGTCCTTGCCATGTGACACCCTGTGCAGCTTTGGGACTCTGCAGCCAGAAGGCCATCACCCTTTGCTGGCCCTTGACCATCTAGAACTGTGCCTACATATGCCTCTTTGCCTTACCACATTATGCAGCCTCGGGTGTTTCATTACAGTAATTAAAAATGGATGTGCACACACACACACGCATACACACGCATGCATGTGTGGTTTGTGTCGTCTTCTGAAGCCATCACGAGATTTAAAAGCTTGGGAAGCCTTGCACTGGCTCCGCCGTCTCAGGGCACGTGGGAACTGCCTGAGATTATGATGCAAGCACTTGCCCCTCTCCCCAGAAAAGCATGCCCCAGCACACACATGGGACACGTGGCCAACATGTCAGCATGAGAGACGAAAGCCACGTCTGGCCATACGTCCTCCTTGTCCCTTCACCAGTGGACCACACACCTTAAGCGAAGTAAGATTTTTCCGGGGAGCTCATCAAATATAGATTTTTTAAAAAATTGACACTATGAGAGGCAATGACTTTTTATTTAAGATTTATTTATTTGAAAGTCAGAATTACGCAGAGAGAGTAGGAGAGGCAGAGAGAGAGAGAGAGGGAGAGGTGTCTTCCATCCGCTGATTCACTTCCCAATTGGCCACAATGGCTGGAGCTGCGCCGATCCAAAGCCAGGAGCCAGGAGCTCCATCCGGGTCTCCCATGCGGGTGCAGGGGCCCAAGCACTTGGGCCATCTTCTGCTTACCAGGACATAGCAGAGTTTAATCAGAAGTGGAGCAGCTGGGACTCAAATCGGCACCCATATGGGATGCTAGTACTGCAGATGGTGGCTTTATCTACTACGCCAAGGCACCAGCCCCAAATATACAGATTTTTAAAATATTTATTTGGGGCCGGCACTGTGGCAAAGCAGGTTAAGTGCCAACATCCTGTATGGGCACCAGTTCAAGTCCCGATTGCTCCACTTCTGATCCAGCTCCCTGCTAACAGCCTGGGAAAGCAGTGGAAGATGGCCCAAATGCTTGGGCCCCTGCACTCACATGAGAGACCTGGAGGAAGCTCCTGGCTCCTGGCTTCAGGTCGGCGCAGCTCCAGCGGATGTGGCCATTTGGGGAGTGAACCAGCGTATGGAAGACCTCTCTCTGCGTCTGCCTTTCAAATAAATAGATAAATCTTTTTAAAAATTTTTCATTCAAAGGCAGAGTGACAGAGGAGAGAGGGAGAGAGGGAGAGGGAGAGAGAGAACGAGAATGAGAATGAGAAAGAATGAATCTTCCATCCTCTGGTTCTCTCCCCAAATGCCTGCAACAGCCAGGGCTGGCCAGGCTGAAGCCAGGAGCCAGAAGCTCCATCCGGGTCTCCCACGTGGGTGGCGGGGACCCAAGCGCTTGAGCATTACCTGCTGCCTTCGAGGCTCATCAGCAGGGAGCTGGATCGGCGGTAGAGCAGTGGAGATGCTGGTGTTACAGGTGGTGCCCGCCCCCAGGGCTCAGGGATCAAGGAGTGCAGGCTTTGGAGTTTGACCCGCGCTTTGCGTCTGGCTCTGCTCCTCTCCAGCCACTGGTGGTTGCACCTCTGAGGGCTTTGCTCTCCTCTGAAAGGGCGTGGCAGTCCCCAGCCCAGCTCCCAGGGTGCTGAGAGGAGCTGCACGCAAAGCCAGGAGCTGGGAGCTCCGTCCAGGTCGCCCATGTGGCTGTGCAGGAACCTAACTACTCAAGCCATCGCCCCTGCCTGCCCCCCGAGTCTGCACTGGCGGGAAGCTGGAGGCAGGAGCCAGAGCTGGGGATGGAAGCCAGGTACCGTGATCCGGGACACGGGCGTCCTAACCACCGCAGCGGCTGGGCCATGCGCCCGCCGCTGGCTCCTGGCACTGACCGGGAGCCGAACAAGGGGTCCCAAGTGCCTCGCGCTTTCAGAGTCGTTAGCCGGGTTTGAACCGCGGCCAGACCGCAAAGGGCACTGTCCGGTCCGTCTCCCGTCACCAGAGCAGAGTATCTGAGATTAATCTCTCAAGGAACAAGTGTCTTCAGCTCCTGATTCTGCAGGTTGCAAATCTAAGGCTGGAGGCTGCATCCGTGCCAGAACGTGGCAGAGACGCGGTGGGCAAGCAGGTGCGCGTGGGGAAGGTGGAGTGCAAGGCCCGCGGCCACCCGCTCCTGCAGGACACGCTCACCCCTGTGAGAGACCCTGTCAGATCCTCTGAGGGACCTCTGAGGATCACCTGCTTTTTTGGATTTTAAAGATGTGGGGCCGGCGCTGTGGCGTAGCGGGTAAAGCCGCCGCCTGCATTGCTGGCATCCCACATGGGCGCCAGTTCAAGTCCCGGCTGCTCCACTTCTGATCCAGCTCTCTGCTGTGGCCTGGGAAAGCAGTGGAAGATGGCCCAAGTGCCTGGGCCCCTGCACCCACATGGGAGACCTGGAGGAGGCTCCTGGCTCCTGGGTTCAGATCCGCGCAGCTCCGGCTGTTGAAGCCAATTGAGGAGTGAACCAGCAAATGGAAGACCTCTCTCTCTCTCTCTCTCTCTCTCTCTCTCTCTCTCTGCCTCTCCTTCTCTCTCTGTGTAACTCTTTCAAATAAATAAATAAATCTTTTTTTTTATTTTTTTTTATTTTTTGACAGGCAGAGTGGACAGTGTTCTAGAGAGAGAGAGATATTTTGTTCTAGTCAGGGTTTTCATCACCCGGGCCTGGCCTGTTAATTACATCTCATCAGAGTCTCTTCCT